GGGCTTTAAGAATAATACTACTGTAATATGTTACAGCTTAAACTTCAAGCCTTCAAAAATTACAGTATTTTTGCTATGCCAAGCGCCTAGTCGGCATATTGGACTAACTCAATATACTCATTTTATCTCGTGGCTGGCTATAAATATCCTTGATGGATGATCAAATTTATTTAAAAATTTAACTAAGTTAGAGAGGAATGCAAGCATGATATTCTCACTTAACAATTGCTCGGTATAATAATAAGCCATATAAATATATAATATCAAATTCTCTACAGTAATATAAACTAATTTATAAAGTTGATCTTAATGCCATCCGCAATTAAACAACATTATTATTCAACAAGCCGCCAAAAAGCTCTGAAAAATTTTTAATACTTCGCGAAAAAAAAGCTAAAAATATAATGATGTACAATCAAATGTTGTTATTGTCAGCTAACTCCTCCGTCAGCGTTGCCGGAACAACGAACATCTCAGTGGCGCCCAGAAAACTGATGCCACGCGGTTGGGGAGGGGGACTGTCCCAGCAGTGTTTGTACCAGGTCGTCTGCTGGCGGCTCAGCCCAAAGCCAGCCGCAACGCGATCAATGCAGTACATAAGACAGCGTGACACGGCTCTCATCACGCGCTCCCAGCTGGAGCCCGGCAGGTCCTCAATATAAGCTATGCCAATTGGCTGCTCGGCTATGCCAGCGACTACAATCGGCGCTAGCGGGCTCTTCGGTGTCAAATCATCAGCGGAGGCAGTCCTCGATAGTCCGGGCTTTGCATGCAGAGCCAATTCCACTTCCTCTGGCATGCCGGAGGCATCCTCGTCGCTGCGGCACTTTGGGCTCAGCTGTTGCTCCAGCTGCTTGAGCTGCAGTCCACTGGAGTTAGACATATTGCTGACTTTGCGTAATTTGTGTGAAATGCGCTCAGTGCAACGCGCAATTGCTTTGATTTTATCTGCACAGTTCAACTGTCCTTAAAATTTAGAGGATGAAAAAAAAAATCAGAGAGCCAAGTACCGGCTTACTAAAACATGCCTAGTCGAATGTTATCTTGTATGCCTACTTCCTAAATCTATTCAAATTGAAGTAGCGGTACTTCTCCTTTGCCTACTTCTCCAAACTGTAACTACTTAAATTTTACACTCTTATTTTCCCTCTCATCAGTCATCTATATAGGTTATTTTATGACCTAACCTAAGGAACACCATAGACGTATATCGTATCGTATTTTAGCTAGCTCATCTTTCTACTTCCAACTGGATCCCACTGGAGCCATATGTGTTCTACACGATATAGATAGATATAATATATAGTATCTCTTAGAATATATAGTACACAACTAATATATTTAATAGTATATTGTAGTAGTATATATATGTTATATAGTATCCTTCAGCAGCTCAATCTGCCCATTGTACTACGCCCACTTCTTCTAGTGGGTAGCTTTCGCATAAGACTAGAGGGAATACCACACCAGTGCTCAAGAATGAACATGGAATCGAGTATAGCTACATGTAGACAGACAGACACACGATCGAGTGTTAAGAGATTATTATTGAGACACCGTACCGTACAGCCCTTGACATATGTAGATATAATATATATATGTATATATACAATACATCCGAGGAACGAATTTGCCTATACTATAAGAATTTTATATGAAATATTCGCTGCTTATCTTAAAGCATTAACTACCCAATGTAATTCATCAATTAGTGAAGCAATTTATTACACGAAAGCAGCAAAAAGCTATTTAAAACTCATTTGTCGCTAGGCAAATCACCTTAGATGTAAACCCATTAAAATCTTCGCCATTAATGTCTATTAGTTGCACATTGTAGCCATCAGTAGCTACAGTATAGTACTTTATAACTGGTTCCATTGCGCTTGCCACCAATTCTAACGTTCTCTCTTGCAATCAGCTCAACTTTCAATTAATTTTTGTTGTTTCTCTGCGGGGTTTTTCTAGCCAACCTTGAGAGATTTTTTTCAAAGAAGTTTTTTGTGTGTCTATCGACTCGTTGCCAAAAGCCAAAAGCCCAAAACAAAGACTACAAATATATTTGGTTATATTTATGGATATTTTGTGTCAAGTCATTTAACGTAGAGGAGGGGCCACAGCTGCTTCTGCTTCTGCTTCTTCCTCATCTTCGGCTATTTGTAAAATTAATATTTACGAAAGTCTGTCGCCGCCATAAGTGTAGCAAATTAATGCAAATGTCTGCTAGAAAAACTATTTTAAAATACACTCCTTAACTTTTGACCGCCACGCGATATGTGACTTGTAATTAAATTGGCATTTTATCAGCTTAGAATGACAAATATGCTCGCATTACACAACAATTAGACTGTATCATTAGCATAAAATAATTTCAATTCATGGCAGGTTCATTTAGAGAAAGAGAGAGAGATAAATAGACAGTCATCTGTAATCCAATTTGTGGCACGTGCTAATCGATACTCGATTGCTTGATTGATTCTTTTATGTAGATAATTGAAAACAAAATTTTTTTTATCCGAACTGGTTTAAGGCACGAAACTCTAACTAACCCAACCCCAAATACCTTTCTTTTGGATTTGCGGAAACTTAATAATTACCGCAACAAAGAAGACTACACGATGATGCATTTAAATTTCATAGTCCTAGAGACTCTAGCCCGTCTCAGTCACAATAGTGTTTAGTCTATAATTTATGGCCCATCTAAAAGAGCAGCTAGAAACCAGTTCGAAACTCGTCGCACACCCAGTCGAATTCAGAATATTGTCTGATCGCATAATTTATGCTTGGCATATGATGAGAGAAACCCCCAGAAGGAAAAAACCGTTTAGTCATTCTTACTAGACAAGTCTAGCGAGTCGATGGATGTACTATACGAAAGTTTCGCCAGCATTGGATACCTTTTCCGCCCGCTTGATGTCATAAGCATATATTCTATCCACGCCCCTTTAGTATTTTTCAGAGTCATGTCCCCCAAAACGAATAAAATGCGCCAAAAATGCGCATTTGGTTGCAGTTACGTCGACCGATAAGTGGGTCAAAGACAACTTCTCGATAGCTCGCCAAAAAGCAACAACTACAACAGCAAGCATATGCAGTTAAGACTAACTAACTACCACGATTGTATTCTGAAAACATTGATTGCCGTTAGACGCGCCGCGCCGCGTTGCCAACTTATATAATTGCAACATGGCGCACCAATTGGCAGCGACGCTACCTTGACTCGAATGCCGCTGCTTGAATGTCATCGATTGTCAAAGCCTCAGACCTTGGTCGCCAGCCCGCCTAGTGGCTCTGCCAAGAACTTGTGAAGAATATTACATAATATAATAAAACTAAATTAGAAAAAAACAAAAATAAATAAGAGATAAACAAGTAAATTCAAGTCAATCTGGTTCTTGGATCGTACCATCTGCTTTGATGGCACTGTCACACGAAATTCGAAGCAGACTATTGCTATCAAATTTCTTGTATTTCAGGTCTAGCATAGAATCGGTATTTCTGCTTTACTTTATGACAAATTTAAATGTTGATTCGATTGCTCTCCTATATTGGATTAGCTCAATATCTTAGCATTTCCGATTGGCTTGTTTAGTGCGACAAAACTATTTGATAATAAGAATTGCAATCTATACTTATTTAATCATTAGAAGTAATTATTATCGCTTGAATAAAAATCAATTACCCAATCGATAACAATGTAAGAGATTACTACCAGTACCTGGTGCTTCACAAAACCGTTAAAAAACTATAGACACGTGTTGGAAATTGAAGTAAACTTACAGCAAGAGTATTAATTAGGCCTATAGCTTTCCAGTTGCTGGTCACTCTGTCTTGAATTTTCCACAAAGTACGTAAAATGGAGCGATGCAATTACATCTTTACAGTATGCCACATTGCGTTGCCTAGGGAGACCAAGTCGAGCTCTACGTTTCAATGTTACGACTTCGGGCGATAACAATAAGTCGGCATTGCTGTTGGCTCTTAATTCTAAGCCATTCTCTTCTCGATTTAACAATAATTCACATGCAAACGGAAATAATTATACAAATTTACAAAACAACCCAGCGAGGTCTGTGGAGGCTCAATGGGCTGCATTGGGGGCCCTTAAAAAATGTCGATTCATGCGACTGATTGCAGATACGTCGAGACATAAGCCACGATCACTTGCAATCGACTAGCCAGGCACTCAGAATTTGCTGGGAGATCTATTAATACCACATAATGTTTAATGACGTGCCGGAAATTGCTGAGGCGAGCCATTAAGCCGCATATACCCCTAAAAGTCCCTAGTCCCTACCAATAACAATGTATTCTATATACAGCCATTTCTGGCTAGCTCACATAACTTGTTTTTATGGGTTTCTCGACACTTAAAGTGTGCCAGATTTCGGGTTCTTGTGTCGGATATAAGTTCAATATCATTAATCGCTCAAAATTATAAGATATCATCGAAACTAGATTTCGTTGAATGACATTTCTTAATATCTCTTCACCAATCTTATTCCATTCACTAAGCACGACCTTTATTTCTGTGTTTTTTTTCTCGCTGATGTCGATAATTGGATCAGCCTCAAATCATGTGAAACCAACCACTCCATTGTGATTAATTCTCATGATTTAAATACTGTTGAAATAAATGATCAAATTTTATGATCTTGATTGGTCATTCAATCATGCTATTATGAGTATAAATTGAATTGTATTCTTTAAGCCAACTCTTGATATTTCAATTTCAAATTTAAGCCCTATCCCTTATTGCCGTATGTCGTATGCACCCAGTCCTCAGTGTAGTAACAGTATAGATCATGCTCTAGACTGTCTCTTGGCGTACCATCTCTATGAAACTGCGTACTTAGCTTTTTAGCCCCGCGCAGCGTGCGACTCTAACCTTTTCTCAACCCGAAGTCAACGTCTCGATGCAATTAAAACATGCGCTCGCGTATGTATGTGATTACCAAGTATTAAGTATGAAATTTCCTTTCTTCTAATGGATTCTATTGTCGATTCAGTTGCTCGCTGTCAGCGCGACTCTCCGGTTGATTATGCAGTCCCGCCTGCTCTGTTTACTGTACCTGGCCACAACGTCTGCCCAAAGCTACTTGGACAATGTCCTGCAGGATGGCCTTGAGCTGCTAAGGCGTGGCCAAAGACAAATGGATCTCGAGGCTTTTGATCACCGCGATCAGCTGCTCCGGGAGTACGATTTCATAGTCGTGGGCGCTGGCACCGCCGGCTGTGCGCTGGCCGCACGCCTCTCCGAGAATCCCGACTGGCAAGTCCTGCTCCTGGAAGCGGGCGGACCGGAGAGCTACATCATGGACATGCCCATTTTGGCGCACTATTTGCAGCTGGGCGAGATGAACTGGAAGTATCGCACGCAGCCCTCCAACAGCTACTGCCTGGCGATGAACAACAATCGCTGCAACTGGCCGCGTGGCAAAGTCATGGGC